AATAATAAAATTTAAATTATAATATTAATTATTATAAATTAAAATTAAAATCCTAATTAATGTAAATTGAAATTTGTTCTTAATTAATTATTACATTGGATATAGAATTTAAACTTTAAAAAAAAATATTACAAAATATATATATACTATATTTAACATTTTTTAAAAGTTTAAGGTGCACACATCAATGGCTCTAGAAAGATTTCCTTTAGTCTAATTAACCGAATGTTTGTTACATAAACTATTTTGAAACAAAATTGATAGTTTATAGATCATTTTAAAAAAAATTTATTTTTAAATTAAACTAAAATAAACAATATAGTTTATAGACTATTTATTGAATTTAGTTATTACTATTATTATTTTAAATAAAGTTATGTTACAAGGGATGAGAGATTGAAAAGTCCTTGAAGTCGGGTTTAATGAAAAGCGTTATGGAAGGAACAGTTCCTTGCCCTACCCAAAACTTGTCATGCCCATCCGATTATTGCTTTACAAGGTGATCTAAATTATAAAATTAGAAAACAGAGAATTCTTGTGTTTATAAGATTGTGGAAGAAGGATAAGTCTCATTGGTGGAAAATTTTAGGGCATGTTTCATACGAAAAGAAATGGAGAAAAATATAAAAAAAAAATAAATTTTTTAATTAATATTAATGAACAATGTAATCTAATTAGTTTTAAAAATACTCTTTTTTTTCAAACGAAATATACCTATATGATGAAAGTAAATAGACAATAAAATTTTTTACATTTAAGGAATATTTGATTTAAGATTAATTTTACTAAAAAAATTAATGAAAAAATATTTTATTAAATGTTTTATGAAAAATTATTAAATTTTATAATAAATTTTATTGGAATTGTAAAATTTTCTTTATTTTGTTTGGTGAAAAATTGACATTGGTAAAGTTAGGAAAAAAATGTTTAGATTTTTTTACATTAAAATGGTTAAGTTTTTTCTTATTAAAAAGTAAAAGAAAAAATTATTCATTAAAAATTATATTAAAAAACTAAAAAATAAAAATATTAATTTTACACTTATTTTGTGACAATATTAAAATATGTAAAATAATCTTTAAAAATCCAAGTAAGCAGCCGCACTCTCTAGGTGAGATCGCTCTTGTCAAATTTTAGTTATTTCCAACTTTGGCGTTGGCTCACGCCTCGCCGAAGTTTCATTTTTCCCTCTAGTAACTGTAAGAATAGGTCCAAGGTGCCAAGCCTCAGACTGCTACAGTAATTCCTTTATGATCGAAGTGAAAGATAAATCCAAAGCTTCCCGCTCAAATAGCTGCATGACAGCGACAATGAGTATGCTCGCACCTGATTTCTTATGATGAGCTGCATAGCAGTTATGGCGAACATCCTTGAATCTGAATACCTCTCAAATTTTCGATCCCAGAATAATCGTCTGGATGGACACGTCAGGCTCCAATTATCTTGCTTGGCATGCCATGTGGGTTCCTCATTGGATCCTATAAATACCCCCCACGGGCCACGTCAAAAGGTAATTGAAACCAACCCTAAGCTCTTTTTATCTCCGCTCTAAAGGTAGCCCGATTATTGCTGACTTAAGCATCAGAGTGTCTACCCCAAGTTCCAACTCAGGGCTTTGCAGGTCATTCCGAAGTGC